GCTTTTATCCTCATTTGTAAGTTGCTTTAGATAAAAGTATCTGATAAATGAATAAATGTAAACATCTTCAAAACAATGCTGTGATGGTATTATAGCAGCTAAGAACTGATGAATAGCAAGAACATGCGTTTCTGACTCCTCCATTGAACTGTAATGAGCAACAGTGCCAATACAATGAGAAAAAACAGGTGTTTGAGCCTTTTGCCCTGTTTATGATGCCTTGTTTCAAGCTGTGTTCGTATTACAATTGAACCACACCAGAATTTGTTTTCAAGTGGAACAAGACTTGTTTTATGATAAACGTTTGTAAGCTGAGACAGAACTGTCTGCATGTATAATGTATACACTGTCATGTTGGAGTGATATAAACCCAACAAGTCTTTTTTTTTTTTTTATTTACTGATGTTAAAATAGGACTCCCATGCATGCATGTGGGAACGGTGGGCGGGGGTGAAGCAGCTCATTTGTAATCAAAGCCACAGACTACAAAAACAGCTACAATGAATTCTGACACTAAAATTGGCAGATTCTGGAGGCTATGATAAATTATTTGATGTGTATTTTGAGCTGAAGCTTTACCGACGCGTTCTGGTGACACCAAAGGCTTATTTTACATCTTATAAAGGGATAAAATAGGTGCCCTTTAAGTGGTCTCAGCCAATTTGTTTATATAGCTGTTCACTCTTCTTCATATAAACCACACTAACAGAACAATCATAACAATGTTTGCTTTAATCAATTCTAACATGTCAACATGCCCTCAGCTCAGAGTTTTTTTCAAGATATAACATGAAGGAAAATCATTCAAAACACACAGATACACTATAACAAATATGAGTGAGTCAGTCAGAGAGAAGAAAAAGGGAAAAGAGTGGAGTTTTATCTCTGACAAAGGCTTCATTCATTGCATCTTGGCTAATATTATACAAGCTACACACTGAAGGAAATGTCCACTTAGTCCTCCAGAGCACAGACTCAGCACCACACCTTTGATTCCAGGCCTTCTCAAAATACACACCGGAAGATTTGCAAGGGTAACACCATCAGCGGTGAAAGTAAGTGTCAGGCCCTGTGAGACCCAGGTAAATAAACTCACAAGGCAATGAGAAACCAGTAAACGGCAGGTTTCAGGCAACTCTACAGACACACAAGCGGGTTTTAAGTCCAAATTGCTCTTTATTTCCGACATAAATATTTGAAGAAATTCTTTGTTAAATGAATTTAGCACACAATAATAAAATTTTAGTATGCTCACTACTCTATAGTAATATTTTTGTTAAAGCTGCAGTAGGTGATCATAGTCTTTAGAAACATTTTTTGTTGTGCTGGTTGAAAGTCTCTTCACATTCCAATAGTAATGATTAAAGAGAATGCATTTATGAATTTTGGGTAAAGCACAAAACAAATGTTCATCCGATTAAAAATTGTCAGGCTGACAATTCCCATAATTCTGATAAGTAGCCCAAACTGTCTGTCAACATACGTAGTGTTGTACATCTTCGCACCCCTCTTCACACAGACAGATTCAATGTTTGCGTGTTCACGTGCACACGAGAGTGTCAGCAGTAAAAATAAATGCTGAATCAAAACTTTTTCAAATCCTAAATCAATATTGGAGTTACTTTTGCATGCTGGAGGAAGGAAGACACCAGCTGAAGTATTTCTTTTAGACAAGTAATGGTATGTTGTTAAAGTCACGCAAAGCTTCTGTACATTTTAGTTAAGCAAAGCTCCTGAAATCATCCACCAAAAGATTGACGTGACTCAATTTCATAAGGGAACTTTTACAGCAATCGATAATGTAGATTTTATATAGTTTAACGACAAAACACAAGTAAATACTGAGGTGAAGATGGTTTTATATTCACATTGGTTCATTTTTTAACATTGACACCTGCGACGCGCTCCCTATATTACTTACCATGCTACTCTGAATATTCGCTTTGAAATAGCATCCAAGTATGACTTCGTAATAAGTGTAATTAATTAATGCTCCCCGCCAGTTAACCACTAGCTGATTTAGGACAAAGTGCGTAGAGAGTGAGACCAGCGATCCTTGCATGCATGAAATATTGCACATTGTTACAAGTTTGCTTGCTACACAACTGAAAACGTGCTAGATATAATACAGTTTTTCATTCAGAATTGTAGTACTATAAAGTACTGTAAAGTTTTCTAACTGGCAAATGACATGATCTAGTGGGTTTCTGTCATCTTTAAGGTGTGTGTCAGTGATTTCAGGAGGCATGGCTTTGGACAGCAGAAGAGGGACTGTGTTTTCAAAGAAATTATGCTAATGGATAACCTTATGGCAGCTCACCTTCTGCAACTTTATTTAAATGATGGTCATGGGCCATGTTAGAGATGCAGAGAAGTCAGTGCATCTGTAGATAAGGCTCAAGAGCTATAAACTAATCACTGCAGTTAACATTTTTTCAGTATTATTCAAGCTATGCAGTAGTAGTTTTTTTAATCTATTTGGAATTTGGAAATCAATTCCTGCACTATACAAAACGTGAAGATCAATTATAAACTAATCACATGAAGATCACATGCTTATGATTGACCACGGCTGGTCCTGCATTAGCTATCATTTGATTTACAATCAGACAAATCCAAACACACATAAATTTCCAAATCTTCGCTTTGAACAACCCCCCAAACACTCCTACACCTTCCCCTCTTTCTCAGACTGAGCCAGGGCAGGAGGGCCATTTGGCGTTTCTGTGGGGAGTTTACATGTTCTCCCTGTACTGTGAGGGTTTCACCCCGGTACTCCGGTTTCCTCCCACAGTCCAAAGGCATGCAGTATAAATGAATTGAATAAACCAAATTGGCATAGTATATGAGTGTACTGGGCATTCACTGCATAACCATATGCTGGTATAGTTGGCGGTTCATTCTGCCGTGGCAACCCCTAATAATCAAGGAATTGGCTAAGTTAACGAATTTGAAGGAGTTCTCTAAACCTACCTGAGCTCAGACTCCCCTCTCTCCCTATTAAATAGGAGGCAGGCCCAGGTTCAAGGACCTTCTGAGCTCAGGGCTCTCTCCTTATGGGACAGCATGCCAAACATGCTTTATTATTAATCATCAGCTAACCTAAGTGTGAACTAAGTGTTTCCCCACAAAATTAATCATACAAATTAAACAAAAAAAGGCTAGTGCTGTGTAAAAGGAAATGCAATTTTCATTAGAAAACAAGGGAAAAAAGCTTTAAAATAAAAAAGTCCTGTTATGAAAAAAAACACAAGAAGCTTAAGAGAACAACTCAAAAGAATAAAATAATTTTAAAAATATTGCAAGGAACTCAAACTCTCATATATCAGCACTAGTAAGATGCTAAACTTTATGCCAAACATCACATTTACAAACACAGACACTGATCTCATCAATTTCAATATTCAGATCTTGGTAGCAACAAGAGAAATATCTAACTTCGGTAGCTAACAATATATTTTAAAGGCTTTTAAAGTTTGTCGTGCACAAATCCCCACTGCCAATGTATCTGAAGCAAGTTCATCAGTGGTAGGAAGTCTGTAGTTAGAGCAGAAGTCTTTGCAGCACATATTTCTCTCCCTATTTATGCTGCAATGCTTCCACCTAGAGGTGCAACCTGGGATACGTCTGTGCACTGGTTCATCTAATCACTGCGAGGGCCCAAACGTCTTCTCTATAAATAGTGAAATTGCATAGATATTGACTAGATCAGGACATTTGATTGGTCCTTATTAATTAAGAGGTTTCTAAATCGGCAACTGTATGTGGTTTGGTTTTGGGGTAAACCATAGAAAATATTAACCTTACAGAAAAACAATCAATATATGCAATATCCTCAATAAGACCACCAAGAAACAAACCTGCACTTGATGTGTGCTTATACAAGGAGAATAAAGTTTTAAAGCAAAAAGGGGGGGAAAAGAAAAGGTAAAATGGGGATTGTTAGGCCTAGTGTTAGAAGATAACACAAACGTATTTTTGTAAATAAACAGAACAGAAAATATATTTTTAAAACGTGTTGTTGTCTATTAATTTGAAGAATCAGAGAAGAAGAATATAGAATATTAAATAAAATTGATTAACAATAATTAGAGTATTAATAGAGAATGAACAACAGTTGATGGAGCGTAGCCAAATAAGTTGACAAAAAAAGAGAGAAATCCTTGTTCAGGATTGCTTAAACAATCCACGTTGTTCAGATGCTTAACCACATGGATGATCACACGAGATTAAAAAGCGTATTATTATTATTACTGCCCATGATTAATCTCAGTTTCTTAGTCTCAGGGTTACCAGAGCAATCTGTTTACTTACGTGTAACTTAGATGTGTACTGTTCGGCTGCTGTTTTGCAATACCCAACACATCAAATTTGTCATCGGCCGAAGAGCGTCAAACAACAAACAAATCACGATTAGGCTGCACGACCGCCATTTTGAAACGCAAGGCCCAGCCTGGTGCGAAAATGTCCCACGTGAAGATTAAAAACGTAGACTTTGCCAAGCTTTTTTGCCCTAAAGACTGTGATTTAACTGTAGCTTCAATATTTTATTGCTATCACAATAATATGATAAAACCAAATTTCAGTTCTTGTTTTGCTTTATTGTTTTTTTAACAACCAAACGCGTTTAAAAGTATTTATTTTAAATGACAGAAAGTTTGAATTAACATGTAGCCTAAAACATGTGTAAAAATAAATATTTGAATAAAATGTTAAAAAAAAAAAAGAAGAAAAGAAACATAAATAGTCATTTTATAAATAGCATTTTGCTGAAATAGAATAAGTCATCTCAACTTGGGGTATTTGTAGTTTGCTATTTGAAGTTATCTTGACTCTTTTTAAAAATTAAAAGTGGGAAAACCCTATTTTCATATTATTCAATTTCACCATTACTGGAGAGATTGAAAGAAACATTTGATTATTATTATTTATTTTAATTATAATCCTTTAGAACAGAACCTTAAAACAGACACAGTTCGAAAAAGAATGGCTACTTATGGTTTAAGTTGAATGGTTTATTACCATGAAGCATGTCATACTGTAATTAAAGAATTGAGGATTCTGTGGGATGGCGTGTGAATGTTTATTCTCCTAATTTGCCTGTTTTATTTACGAATAGTTGAAGATGGTTGCTTAATAAATAGTACATTCAGCATGAACCAAATATTTTGGATTCAAGCATTTGTTCAAATCTTACAGTCTTCATGATACTAAAACTAAGCACAGTGTGGTTTGCACACACACAAAACACTCAAAGTTTTTCCACAAGAAATCACATGGGCTACGTTATTATGCATCCACCCTTCTCCTTGAATGGGTTTTTGTCCTCAGGAACTCCTTTTACGAGTGGATCTTCTGCAGATTGTGCCTCAACCCATTCACATATCTCCTTTGCAGTTTTAGAGACCTGAGGGAAAAAGGGAATGTCAGAATTTAGTTTTTTTATATACTTCTAAAGCATGACTTTAATAAATATAGCACAAAATCAAGGCACTTTTTGACCTACTAGTTTAATTACCAAGCAGAGAACTTACAGGCTCTCTGGTGTTTTTCGCCTCCTTCTGAAGCTGTTCCAGCTCCATTTTCAGGATATCCTTATCGGACATATCCCGGGCCATCTTGCCCTGAGGAAAGAAAGCTGCAGTCACACTCATGTTAACCACACACATTGTACATTTACAAATATCTAAAAAAAAAAAAAAAAAAAAAAAAAAAAAAAGAAGAAGAAAAAGAAAAAAAGGATGTAAAATATTGTTCAGCACGGCAAGTTACAGTCATTTTAAAGATGTATAACACATGGGACAATGGGACAACTGTCAATTTTATTTTATTGTTCAGAGGGGAGCAGAACAGGTTCAACATATTTTGTGCAATACAAATTAATTAGGAAAAAAAACGGCCACAATACAGTTTACAGAGTAAAGTGATGGCTCTTTTTTTGTTGTAAACAGACAGATTTTTTTTTTTTTTTTTAGTTTTTTCATAACTGAACAATTAAACCTGTTACCCATAAAGTTAGGGTATATAATGGTGCTTAAAAGGATTGTTCGCCTAAAAACAAAAACTTCCTTAATATTTACTCTAAACTTTTATTAATTTCTTCTGTTGAAAACAATGGAGTGTTGGGAAAAAAACATAAAAAAATGGTATGAAAGTCTACAGCAGTTTTTCTTTTAATTCTTCAGAATATCTTCCTTTGTCTTCAGCATTAGCAACAACAAGAAAGTTCAAACACATGGAAGATATATAAATAATGCCAACATTTTCATTCATAGCTGAACTGTCCATTTTGTAACCTTGGACTACAATTTTTTGCAATACTGCAAAAGCATTCTTCGTCACAAGTTTGTCTGCAGATGCTGGGTAAAATAAACACTAAAAGTCACTATGACACCAACAACTTTTGTTTCTTTTAACACTTCTGACATTTGCAGATATATTATCAACAGATTAAATTTATTATTTTTTTTTTCAGTTCTTTGCACAGCACCAAAAAACAAAAAGAGAATACATTTCTGGGTTAATATCCTTGTTTTTATATTGTTAGATGTTTTATCAATGTTTGGATGACTGCAGCACACAATCTAGAGCATCTCTGATTTCAAAGCAGCTACTATATATCATTTGGCATCCATAAATATTGTAAACCACACTATCAAGTTTCCCCTGAATGGACTTTTTAGACCACAAAGTTAAAACTGAGTTAATCTTTTCCCTACTCCAATTGATGCCTTTTCTATCACCATATAACAATCTTTCCTTAAACACTGAGACAATAGTTCAAATGCAGTGCACAGTGTTTCCATGACTGTCCAAATTGTGTAAATTTGAGGCTCAGGATTCGGTCTCAATTGTTAAACATCTAGCCATATCACATCACTTCACACTGTACAAATTTCACTGCAATGTGGTGTTAATGGAGCAAAACGTTTCATAACCCTGAGTGAAAAGGGATGTTAAAAAGGTAATGAGAAAATCGGCACTGCCACTTTAGCTCTCAAAAAAACGTTAATGTAAAGTTTCGACCAACATGGTCTTCATCCGGTTAACCTGATGAGGACCGTGTAGGTTGAAACGTTGTTAGATTAAAAAAATTGAGACCTAAAGACTAGTCTTTGACAATACTAGATGTGTGCACAGTTCTGTTTCCTGGTTGCTTAATAATAAGGGATGTTAACCATACTTCATACAAGTGTAAAACGTTCCTTAAATTGATAATTCATCCAAGAAATACAATTTCCACACCATTCACTCATGAATTTCTTTAATCTGTTGAGAACAAAACAAGATATTCTAAAGAAACCAGCAGCCATTGACATCCATAGTACTGTAGGTCATGAATTAAATGGCTGCTGCTTTCTAACAATCTTCAAAATAACATACCTTGTGTTCATCAGAAAAAAAAGAAACCTTTATGAACTATAATATTGAGTCAACAAAGAGAGAATTTACATTTTTGGGTGAACTATTCCTTTGACCAAGGGCAAAAAATTAATTATAAGCATGTTGTAGTCCAGTAGGATATTTTATTTTGCTTCTAAGGGAACAAAACTCCTAAGTGCACAAACTTGCCATCTAACTTACATCACCAAGAACAAGGCCTAAATATTACGAGTCTACAAAGTGTTCTTGACTATCCAGCAAGCATTTTTGTGTCTAAAAGATGTATAATAGATGTCTAATAGACATCTGAACATGGCCATCTTGGCTGAAACAAAACTAAATTAGGGCTGTCAGTGAAAAGTAATAGACCTCTTAAAATAGGCCAAAACTAGACTAGACAGAAACGAATGACTACACATATAAAGTCTGTCTATTTGAGGACTAGTATAGTTTTGGGCTATTTTTAGATGTTTCACAGACAGCCCAAGATTAGCCTTGTCTAAGCCAAACTGTCTATGTTTAGATGTCTATTAGACATCTATAAAACACAAAATTGTTAGCTGGGATGTCACTTAAAATGACGCAGGTGACCATTAGCATTTCCCAGGTAAGCATAATGTTTAAACATGTACTGTAACTCAGCACATTTAGCATGGCAAAGCATACTAATGTGATTAACAATGATAAATCAGTTTTACCATGAATGAGTTGCAATTCAATTTGATGGCATTCATAACATAGCATTAGTTACATGTTTACTATCACAAGGCTACTTTTCTTGGTGTATAACTAATATATTGGTATACAAATAGTATGACCAGAGCACTGTTATGTTTCGCTTACCTATTGGTCAGTGGGTCAGCCGATGGAGGCAACAGGTCACTATCTGCACTTTAAGGGACCATTCGTAGGGTTTGTGGTCTGGCGATGAACTGAGCTCTTGGGGTTGATGCTGTTGTCTCTTCAGGATCTCCTCCAGATGGTCAGAGGTGAAGGGGGGTGGAGACTGATCCCCAACAAACACACTTCCTTCATCCAGATTTCTGATCAGCTTAAGTCATCTTGGTAATTAAGGAGGTCAAATCACCCTGAAGCAGGACAGAGTGGTTTACATGCCAGTTTGTACTGGCTGTTCTTTTTTACCAGATTTGCTTTTATGTAAAATCTTTTGTCATGGAAAACTGTGGATTTTCTTTAGAGGACATTTCTGTACATGTTAAAGGTCAATATGTCAACTCAAAGACAATAACATACCTCTGTAGACTTTAGGTGAGTGGCTCTGTTTTAAGAAGCAGATGGCCTAGACTTGACTGACTGCATGTGTGAGGCATCTTATAAACAAGTCAATCAGCCTGTTAAAACCCTTCAAGCAGACTGATATGGAGATTTTTAATGACTGTAGGATGAATGGGATTAATGAATTGTATAATAATTATGTGACCCTGTACCATAAAACCAATTATAAGGGTCTCTTTCTTTTTTTATACATCGGGTTTCCATTGATATATGGTTTATTAGTATAGTACAACATTTGGCTGATATATAACTATTTGAAAATCTGGAATCTGAGGATTAAAAAACATCAAAATATTGAGAAGACATCTTTTTAGCAATGCTTATTACCAATTAACCATTTAGTTTTGATATACTTATAGTAGCACATTTAAAAAATATCTTCATGAAACATGATAAATAAATCAATTTATAATGATAATAATTTCCAATACAATATTTTTGTATCCATAAAATCTATATTTTATTTAATGCCAAAAATGTACCTGTGCAACATAAGACTGGTTTTGTGGTCAGAGCAAACAAATTTTATGCATTTATTTTAATACCAGGAAAGAAGTGCAAATGTAAATAAATTATGTAAATATATATATACATGTACACAGTATTTACTTAACATTCAAGTGTATACATTGCACATTTTCTACGTTAAAAAGACTTTTATTAAAAAGTTAATTATATTAGAAATTAAAATCCTCACCCTCAATTTGTTCCAAACTTGTAGAAATTTTTATTATTAACGATACCATACAGTCGTGCACAGAAAGGATCAAACACAGTGACAGAACCACTTAGAGAATGTACTCGTTTTAACTGTCACTGAGTCACTGACAGAGAAAGAAACATCAAGTGTTGTCTAGTATTAAAAAATACTTCTTATCTATTATCATCATTCAGATCGTGAAATATGTGAATTTGTCTGTAAGTTTAAAAACTTATATTTATGTGTGGCATTTAATTAGAAAAGTGGCAGTTTATTTATTTAATACATGGAAACAAAAAAATGCACTTGAATATGGAAAGTGTTTTACTACAGTAAACAGGTGGGTTGAGCCTATTTGGCTTATTCAGAACTCAAATATGCTGGTCTATGCAATACAGTGGAATACTAGTATACAACCCATATTAAACAGACATTTTAAGTGTATTACTATTAAATTACTACTTATAAATGTAATATTAGGCTTTGTATATATGAAAATCCTGAAATCGCCCGTTTAGGATGTAAAAAAAACAAACAAACAAAAAACAATCACCACTCAAATCTCCGACAACACCATTGACTCCTAATAGGAAGCGGCAGGGTTCATCTACTTTTGGGGTTTCCAACACATTTCCATTGTGGTCTGCACTTTGCAGTGAATGTCTGTATTTGCACGTGTTGTGAGAATTTGTGTGCACGTGGTGTCGTTTTCTCAATTTGTAAGTGTTTTCTTAACTTGCAGTGCATTTGAGCTCTCTCTCTCTCAGCCACTGTACCTTTGGCTTGCATTGTATTTGATACTAAAGAAGTCAATGAACTGAAAAAACTGCAAAACATACAGGTTTGGAACAATTTTAGGGGGAGTAAGAGAACAGATTTGTTGTTGTTGTTATTATTAGCGACACCGGTGGCCGTTAAGTGAACTGCACAAAAACATATTGTTTATGCAAGTAATAAGAGACTAAATGTGATATTTACTTTCCTTTGATTAATTTTGTTATACTGACAATGAACCAAAGCCATTCACACTTCTGTGTCTTTGGTTTCAAAGTTGTTTCCAAAAAATATGTAAATAAAATGCTGTGCACTTTCATTTTAAATGCACTAAACACAAGAAAAAAGCAGTAAGAAAACAGCAGTAAAGAAAACATCTGATTTTGACACATGAAGTAAATAAATAAAATTTGACCGTTATAATAGTTTTACAAATGATATCTGAGACAGAATACATTGATAATGTCTATTCTGGTAAATTCCCTTTTCTTTAATTTGCAGAATGTCTCTTTCTGCGGTAATATAAAACAGAAGAGAAGCTCTTGGAGGTGAAGGTTTTCTTAACGTAAAAATAATGTTACCCAAGTATTTTGCAGACAATTTTTTAAGGCAAGGATCACAAATGTACCCTCTGAACTCTTGTGAGAGACGCACAGACTAGTAATAATGAGACGTGAAGATCTCCTTGATCTTGTCTACTGTCCCACAACATGGTTGACCTGTAGGTCAGTGCAAGCCGACAAGTGAAACCAAACAGCGTTTCTAGGCTGATATTTAAATACAATCAGCATGAAATCCACAATAATAGAGAACTTCAATACCTGACCCTCAACCCGAAGGAACTTATATTTGCTCTTTCACCTGCGTGATGTCTGTGTCGATTAAAAGCCTCATCTGAGTGATCTGTTATTCAGGCGACAAGCCTCTTGTCTTGAGTGCATCACCTTGGCTAATCCTATCAGAAGGTCTTGACTGTCTTAATCCAAGAGATTAGACTCAAAGATGTCACTCTCACTCTTGATTCTCACTGTGAAATGTGGAGCAAAGTTATATCATCTTTTCTGTGAGCTGCTATAAAGGGATTCTTTGTTTATTGTCACTTGCAGAACACCTTTCCCTAGCAGATAGCATAGACACACTGTTAACGTTTGTTGACTTACATGCAGTATGTTACTGTATTTTAAAGTTGTTTTGTGAAAATTACAGTATATACTGCAGTAAAGATATACTTACAATTCTGTAAATACATATACTGCAGGATAAAAGGTGCTATATTTGTAAATATTGTTGCAGTATTTACAGTAATATACTGGTGAACTGCTGCCAGTAAGTTAATGTAGATTTTACAGGAAAATGTTAACAGTGCATGCATTAAACACATCAGTATAGCATCATTTTTGTGACACTTGGAGGATTGTGATGTTTTATTTGAAACCATACTTTATTATCCATTAATGTTGTAAACTATTTTCAAGTATGTGTACATGAAGCTTGAACTCGTATAACCCAGTTTCTTAAAACTTTCATTCTCTCTCAATGGCTTTGCTTTATATCACCGCAGCTGACTCAGAAGTAAAATATGTGATGATGAGATACGGTTGGCAAGTAATGGACAGGAGGCAGAGACCTCGCTATGTGGTACAATGTGTGTGTGTGTGTTTTTCTGATGTTTCTGTGCAGGCACACAACCTGAAGGTGTAGCTGGTCTACCTATCTACGGATGGTGACTTGACTGCTATTTGCTGGAGAAATGCCCTGGGAGGAGTGGAGAAAAGAAGTCTGTGAAACTGTGTGAGTTTGTTTGTACGGTGGCTCGGACTTCCTGATCGCCTGATTGACTGCTGTTCTAAACCAAGAATTTTGAAGTAGCTTTATTTACTTGAAATTACTTACTGCTTCCGAATGACTTATTGAGAAAAAGAAGTCCTACACGCTGTATAACAATAGTTTATATTTTGACAGTACCGTGATGGTTGGGGTGGAGATAGGCATTGTTAAATATAATTTGAGTAATTAAATAAACAACATAAATAATACTCTGTACAACTACTGTTTTTACATTACTGTGATGGTTGAGTTTAGGGTAGGGGTAGACATTAATAAAATACAATTAATGGGAAATTGAATACATATTATGAATAACTCTCCTTAACATCTAGCTGCAAATGTATCTGATCTACACTGTAAAACCAAATAAGTTAACAACTCAAACCATTTGAGGATACCAACTGCAACAACCTATTTAAGTTCAAAAACTAATAATGAGTGCTGCGAACTTAATCCATTTGAGTAAACGAAGCAATTTGAGCACAGTAAAACTCAAAAAGTTAAGGTAACTCAAACCATTTAAGGAAACCAATCACTGCAAATCATTTGAGTCAAACTAATCTACTGTATATGAGTACTGTGAACTTACTCCATGTAAGTTAAAGTAATGAGGTATTTAATTAACTCATTACCCTCAACACTGAGTTTAAAACTCTTTTCAAATGACTAGATTTAACTTTCAGTACATTGAGTTAAATACACTCATTTCATTTGATAAAGTTGACTGGTGGGTTTTACAGTGAGGCTACAACCAGATTAATTCCTGTGGTACCAAAACTACATTTTGACACGTGTATATACTGTATTTGACATGATAAATGACACATGCTGGATATGATGCAGTGTAACGGTTTTTAAGATGAGAATGCTTACACAATGAGAACACATGAAACATGGTAAACATAAAAAATAAATATTAAACACATGACAAACTGCAGTGATAATGTTCTCCAGTGTACACTTAAAATGTCAATAAATATGGCAATAAATACATAGATTTATTCATTCATAAAGTAACAATAATACAATAACAGTCCCTTAAGCTACTGTCATTGTTATTAAAAATGATCTACGGCTCTCTCTTTCAGTTTTTACCTGAGGTTAGGTCAACATTCATTCCCTTTCTTTTTGGTCATTATAGAAAATAGCTATGAAATTTGCACCAGACGAAACTAGACAGAGTTTTAAATACAGCCATTCAGAAGAATAGAATACGCACTTACGAAATGGTAAGGTTTATAATCTAATTAATACATATTAAACCTCTTTAACAAAATTAAATGTACATGCTGAATCACTGATATGTGTTGGTTTTGAGTGACAGATCTGTTTATAAACAGTATACGGCAATTAATGTGATATAAAATGGCATTCAAACTCAAATTATTAGCATTTAACACTAAATAAAGCACATGAGGTTTACCTGAGGTGATAATTGTCAGTTTTTGCTGTTGCAGAAAATTGAAGCCCTTTCTAAAATAGAAATGTTGATAGAACAAAAAACCCTTTTAATATGAAAATATTCCTTTTATCGCGTGCCGTTGCTTTTATTTAGAACACAATTTAAATAAGCCTTTCAGCTCGCTCCTGTTGGTCCTTAATCTGGCAACCTATGCTTGTGTTTGTTTTGGACTAGGAATGCAATACCTAGTTCAACCACTGGGTGTCAAACTTACATACAGCACCTTTAAAAAAATGACCAAAACCGGAAATTTTTTTACTGTAGTTAATTAAATTATTGGCTAATAATTCTATCTGCATTTGCAAAAACTTCAATATGAAGTTACTGCTTTTTTCTATTTTCTGATTTTACAAAGTGTGGCATACTTGATAACGCCATCTCCATTATAGTTAAATCAACAACTGCAATTTTTTAAAGGTATATGCGGAAGCATGCTAAAGGACTTTTAATGTGTATGCAATCGCAAAATTGGCGAGTTTAAGGTCCGTTTTCGTAAAAAAAATCTTTTTAATCTCTCTAAAAAAAAAAACATTTCTTTAATAAAGTGGGTCTCAGATTGTACAAAAAAGCACTGCATTTAATTACATTTTTCTCCGTCATATCTTTAAAATATGAACATTTATTTTACCCCAGAATATTCAATGGAGCTTCTGCGCTAGCCTGCCGTTTCTGATGGGCGTGTGCGAGTAAATGCCTTTTTGTCTCGTTTTATGCTTGAGCAACTAAATGAATGCCTATTTAATTAATTGTATTTTAATTACATTACATCAATGCTGTAACAGAAGCTTTATTAAATGGAAAAAAGTCACATTAACCATTCACCAGAAGTTTATCAGTATGTGAAGAAACACTAGCTCTGCATATACCCTATTGCAGTAAATAAATATTGCACATCCCTATTAGTTACTTATTTGTAAATCACTGCATCTCCAGTTGCTAATCAGTAGCACTTTAGTTTAATCCCACAAAAGAGCTTGCAAAATAAGGCCACCAAGTTCCAAGTAACAGATTTTCTTTGAAAGAGGCTTTTGGCAGCTAAATACATTCTCTTTACTTAGATGGACAGTTCACCTAAAAATGAAGTTGATCTCATCATTTGTTTCAAACCAGGTTGAGTTTTTTTTTTATTCTGTTGAACACAAAAGAGGATATTTTGAAGAATGTTGGAAAACTGTCGTTTTTCAGATGGAAAACTTTACTTTAGAAAAACCCAAAACGAGTAAATGATGGCAGAATGTCATATTTGGGTGAACAATTCCTTTAAGTAATGCACTTTCCTCATAGCAGCTGACTCTGTCCTTTTCTGTTTTTCAGAATTTCACATTTTGTCCACAGAAATAAATTACATTAGTTGGATATGTAAATATCAGTACTTGATGCAGTTGAGATAATTCTTAAAGAAGTGATGAGCCAGTTTTCTCTTTTCATCCTCTTTTTCTTGATTCCTGTAACTGTCATAGCTGTCATATGTCTGATGTATCTGATGACCAATAGAGAAGCCCTTACATGTGGCTACCAATAACTTTCCAAGGCCATCGATGAAAAACTCTGATGGATGACAATGGATGGAGAACAGTTAAATGACCCCCCATATGCAAATGAAGATGATTGACTGTGAAAAAGTTGCGTAGACTTACCTGTGTGACCAACTCTTTTCAAGAACGGGTCGAAACCAATTCTTCGCACGGCTTCAGTTCTTGCCAAGAAATAATTTGTTACACCATCCACAAGATGGCATCCATCATACCCTGAAAGTGGCTGATGAAACTCTCCTCTAACACGCCTTAGACATCCCCCTCCTTCATGCTCAGCTCCCTCATCATATTCCAGAAGGAAATAAAACTGGTCACCAGACACCTCACCGCCAATCTGAGCAGAGAGAAATTACATAAATATTGATGCTCCAAAACTTGACACTCTTATCTTTTCATACTTACAACATCTAGGTCTGGAACTGCCTCCATCATCTCCACAAAACTCTCGATCCGGGTCTCATCCAAGAACTCAAAGTCATCATCGACCCACAGGAAGTATTTTGTTGTCAATTGAGATACAGCCAGATTTCGGCCCGCAAACCACCCCTGAGGAAGCAAATAAACAACAGCAGTGACTAGTTTACTAGAATTTCATGCACGTCATCTAGAATTAAAGCCTTATACCTTTCTTACACCTGATATTACAATGCAAAAAAAAAAAAAAAGATCACAGTGAATATTTAGAGTAATCCAGCTGGCCGAGTTGGTCTTTCCAATGAGTTACTCTACTGAGTTAACATTTTTTGAGGTACCCTGGGGAAGAGATTTTTTATCTCTTAACTAGCAACCCTCTGAAGATTAGAAAGCTTATAGTTAGTGTTGTAGGTAGGAAGTTAGGGCTGGAGTGTGCTTGTTTCATTTTCTTGTTAATTCTAATCACAGTAAGTATGGCAATGTTTGATTTAAACAAATTTAAAAACAAGATACGATTGTAAACATTCTTAATCTAAAAACAATAGCAGTGTTCAGATGACTATATACACAGGTTTTCTGTTTATTTATGTTTAAGAGATGGAGGAAGATCATTTCACCGTTACATAAACCTTAAGCAGCTCATTCTGAAGCCCACCAACAGATAAGACCCACACCCAGGTTTGAGTCACCATGATCTTGACAAGCGAGCTTTAAAGCCTTTCACACTCACATGTGAACAGAACTGGACCTTTTTAAAATAGTTTAAATCTAGAATGTATGTAATGTGTGCGCATGATAATGTTCTTTAACTTATGTAGAATGCTTTGTCTGTGCTAAACATTATTTATTGATGATTTACTGGTGTGAATATATTTATCAATATATATCAATCTTCTTTATAAAAAAATTCTTAGAAGTATTGCTTAACAACTTGCATTCAAACAATATGACAGAGAAGTTTAGTCTGTATGCGCAGCTAATGTGGTTTAAAGTACAACTGTATCCATTGTATTTTGGTATGTGTGTGTTGAGATTATAAAATCTTTCACATTTCTCTTCAAGGGGTGAAAAAGGGGCTCAGTGGTTGGCACTGTCGCCTCACAGAAAGAGGGTTGCTGGTTCAAGTCCTGTTGGCATTTCTGGGTGGAGTTTGCATGTTCTCCCCATGTTGGCATGGGTTTACTCTGGGTGCTCCGGTTCCTCTGGTTATAAATTGCATTATGGGAGCTTGATCTCTGTTCTGTGATGTTGAAAAACTTCGACTTTTATTGACATTTTAGTAGTTTGAAACAATATATTGCGTAATATATAATACATAGAGAATAAAGAGCTCTCATTTAACAATCTAGGCTCAAAGTCTAAAGTGCATGGATGAAAAGCATTAAGGGCAAAAATAATAGTCTGGAAAAATACAGTCTGCATGATCTAACATAGTGGTTCTAAAAGTGGGGATCAAGGGGTCGCGGGGGAATGAAGGGGGGGTGGGATGGGGGGGTCACCTGGTAATTTCCAAAACTCTATTTATTTTTATTAAACCATAAGAATTACCATATTTTATCCATAACCTACTGAAGAGGAAAAAAAGTCATTTATAGTTGCTATACTATATAGTTTATAGTTACTAGCTCTATTGGATTGCGACCCCTGGGGTAATTACATTATATTAAAGACACAGCAATAGCGTCAGATGCAGCAGATTGATTTTATAACACTAGATTAAACTTTCTGGCCCATTTACAGCACTTACATACATTAAAAAATTAAATGAAGAATACACTTGGTTCTAAGGGTGTGTGTGCACCATTGTATGCAAGGTTTCTTTATTTTTAACCACCTCAGTGGATATTGGGGGTCGCAAGTCACTGGCATTGTCATTTTGGGGGCCGTGGGCTGAAAAGTTTGGGAACCCCTGGTCTAACAGAGTTGTTCTTATTCTCTTTATGAGTTATAGGTGTGTTTTGAGCATAACATGCATTAAACCAATCAGAGTATCATCTCCCATTCCCTATAAGAGTCAGTTGCGTCAAGCCATGACACATTTGCTATTTACATGGCTGACTTTGTAAGTGGAAAACCTGAACGCTTCACTAATGAGAAAACAGTTAAACAGACCCTCTGCAGTGCAAGGATGAAGAACAAATGAGCCTCCTCTATTTAGCCTCTTTACTTTACTCCTTTACTTTCGCAGATAAGGAAATAAATAATAGTTATATCTAAACACATGTCCTGTTCTTATGCCCCATATGGTTCAAAGCCCAACATGTGGACAAATCTAATCTGTTTTCCCCCATCCACACAGACAAGGAACAGCAGCACTTTAAAATGAAAATGGCCTCATCAGTTTTTCCAAAACACTCCATTTTCAGGGCTCGAAAACTCTAGGGTAGTGTGGACAGAAGGTGTAACCATAGTAAAACTTATAAACGGGGCCTTAATGTAAGCTGTGCTAACACTAAACTTTGTGACAACACTGAATATGTTCTGTTAACTAACATGGTTTGTAAAAACTGTTGAAACACATGGTTTCCTTGGAAGAGGTGTGATAATGGTGTGTTTTTCCACAGGCCATATCTATGAATGATTGAGAAACACACCACCAAGTTTTAAAATGGGCTTTTTGAAATGGCCCCATAGACTTTTTGGTACACAGCTGTTAGAAAACAGACTGCACTGTGTGTTCTGCAGCTGCCGGTTATGTAGGATACACCCCGCACATCCTGAGATTGTTCATCGGATTCAAACCTACAATACATTTATTTAGTTGATTCACTTTTTGATGTTCGTCCATGGAAATAAAAAGCTTCCTACTGGTTCGCTTGTTGGTAATAGCTTTCACAGAATCCCACAGACTTTAAAGTTACAAAGCTCTGCTTAATAATGTTACTCTGTTGTCTTCGTGCCAGTCACGTAGCTTTGCACTTGACATTGGTCCAACATTAAATCTAATATCACCTCCCCGAACACAACAAGCTACAGTATGTACTGTAATATCAAAGGAATGTTAAACTAATGATTGACAAAGTTGAGGGTTTATATGAATAATCACCAAGCATTGCATCTGGACATATTTTTGCATGACCATTTAGTTGAGCTAAAAGGTGACTGTACAATGTGTGTGTGTTGTGCTGTCCCTGAGGCTGAGCGCATGAACACAACAGCACAAGATCTCTTTCGTGCTTCTAATCTTATACACTTTAATAACTTTAAACACACACCGTGATGCAAGTCACACGATTTCCCTAAAATCGGGCTTTGCGGAGGAACTAAAAAATGGGATGATCAAATTTTCTTGATTATTGTTTTTCCATAACTGTCGGTGACCAAAATCTAAATGGAGTTTCTATCAGTTGCATAGACCCACAGTAGAACTTGACTTTTTTTTTTGGAAAGTAGGTCATGTCCACCATTTTCCCACTTGCCTTGGACACCCATGTGTCACCTACATCGGCCAAGTCTTACACACTAATAAATAAAAGCAAGCAATCAGCCAATATACAGAACGCTCGTGGTTACATTAATTATTAACTTCTCTTTTTCCTTAGCCAAAACACGTTACCTGAGAACAAGTAATAGATTCCAAAGACCAAAGTCTGGGAATATGTCATTAGATATAGACAACAAGATGAATTAAATATCATGTTTAACAAATATAGTGAGATTAGATCCAGCGGTAGATCCTCGATGAACAGTCTGACGAACACAGCTCTCATATGGGTAGATATGCTGCAGCGCATGCCAGAGTGTGTGTGTGTGGTCACGTGATGTGTGTTTTTAGTGGTGTGGTGTGGTGTAGACGGAGAGTTGTTCAGAAACGCTGGGTGAAACGCTAGTGTGGATGCGTTTTAGTGTAAACGTATTAGTGTCAACAGAGCCTAAGCTTTATATCAAACTGGAAAATGTCCTTGCAGGTTTGGTGCTGCTACAGCAGGGAAAGAGACAGCCAATCACACAGCCCATTTGTGTTTGGGGGAGGTACACTCGAGTAAAAAATATATTTTAATCTTTTCTGCACATCTAGGTTAATTAGAGTTGGCAAAGGCTACATCGGGAGCAGATATGTTTCATTTATTTAGTTTGTGTTTTGTAGTATGTACCATATATGTTTTTCTGTCATTTCAAAATGCCAGTTTATTTTCACTTTGTGACACTTATTCAATTAATGTTTCCACGGGATAGTACGTCTGTGTGTGTGTGTCAAACATTTTGGTCAATTGCATTTGTTTGGGTTGTTTATATATTTGAAAGAAAGAGAAAATGTTCAATTCAGCGATGACGAGGCTTCATTTAAAATGCACAAGATATGACTGAGGCCTCTCTTGTGTGCTCTCAATGTCGCATGCACTCACTCTCTCTGCGTTTTTTACTTGACTTTTGTCAGTGACGGTTCTGCGAGCATCAGTTACCCACATTCATCAGAAGTTAAGTCCCAAATTGACACATGTTGATTACATTAGACCTTCGTTTTCAATAGCAATTTTTTAAACTCTTATTATAGGCTAATATTAATCGGAAATTGAGTGCACAAAGTTTTACATTATGAAATTTACAAACAGTCTGCAAGTACTGGAGAACAGATGTAACACATTAATAAAATTTTAGTTTTCAGTCACGCTCATGTAAAAGTAATATTCAACTCGTTTAGTTTTGCCATCATTCATTTTTGTTTGCAATTGTGTTATATAAAGCACGAATCTTCAAACACATGATTGCAACACTAATTTCCAATAACTATTTTTTGTCTTTCCCATGGGGACAGTTACTGCACAATATTTTACTAGTTATTTTGCAAGACAGTTCTATTCAGATTAAAGTGTACTTTAAAGACTTAACTAGGTTATGTTAACTAGGAAAGTTGGAATAATTAGTCAAGGTTTAAACTGGTTTGTTGTGTAGACAATCAAAAAATACACAGTAAATATTTCTGAAGAAGGCTAATGACACTGACCTTAAAATAGTAAAAAAACAAAAAACAAACAGCTTTTATTTAAGACAAACTAAGAAATAAAATGTATTATGACTGAGACAGAATTTTGTTTTAAAATTCAATGAAATACTGTGAAAATTTCCTTGGTTTGTTAAAGATCACTTGGGAAATATTATTTTAAATAATGGGAGTGAAAAAATGACTTCAACTACATCTGGTAAGGTGCCCAAATGTGCCTTGATGTACTTGAATGTTAAAAATGTGTTATCTTACTACAATACAAAGCTACTTGTCAAATAAATTAACATGAAAAAATTATTTTAAGTTTCTTTAATTAGCTTATCTATGAAGACTGCAGCATGATGCATGTAAAAAACTTTGAATATTTGTTTAAGTAGTTTGTGAGGTATGTTAAAATGTGCCCCCTAAAAGTACAAGTGGCTCCTGCCCGATCCCCCAGTTACTCTGGTCTAGAACCCCCACTGTTACCAAGTCCTAAACCCAACCATTACTGTAAATTATTAGTTAAATGACAATTAAATAAAAATTAATAGTTAAATAACAATCATATAGAAGTGCATAAACAGTAAGCCTAAACTTTACATAATTAGTAAACATATCTCTTAATTCTGATTGGCTGATTGGAATATTGTACTGTAGAATGTAGAATGATTGTACTGATTGTAGAATGTCCTACTTGGTGAAATCAGGTTGGTTGTGTTATTATTATTATTTTTGAAGGGGATTAAGTTTGGGGACAATTCATTAATTGGTGGATATTGCTGGAGACACATCACCTTCATCTATGCTAATTCTACACCCTTGCTTCAAGTTAAAAATGGCAGTTGGTGGTCACGCTCTTGCTGTTTCAATTTCTTGCTGTACAACTACAGTTTCAACCAATTACAGTTCCTGAAACATTTTTCCCCTATTATTACAGATCTTTAATTCCTTTTTTTGCCACCTCATTGTCTACGCAAAAAAAGGAAAGGCTGATTTATTGGTTCAGTAGCATCATCAATGTCCTGACCAGATCCTTTTTCACATAAAGAATACAAGAGATGCACTTGACTGCATGTTCACATCTGGTGTAAACAGCAACAGCCCAATGCAAGTGGTACCTGTGCTGGAGGCATGATGAAGTGCTCTATGTTGTCTCCGGACACACTTTCAGGGTTTAGACTGTCGTCTGCAATGATGATCTTGATTTTGGGGTAAAACTTCCGGATGCTCTCGATTAGGACGTTCAGCTCCTTGTACCTCAGAAAGGTCTTGGTTAATATGGTCACCTGTGAGTTGATATCTGAAATGCAATAAAATCAAAAGGGTTCTTCAAGAGATGTTAATAATATGAAAAACGGTGCTACAATTTGATCAGGATAGCTTGATTTTAGCTTTACGCACACATCACAGACATTGCCGTTTTTTTTTTTTAGCAAATCTGATGTCACAGTGTGTGTGGGTGTGTGTGTTTTATTTACCTTCTCCTGGGTCATACAGAACAGGAACTGTTGGTCTCCTTATCATGATTGGAAATTTGGCTTCATGATCCTCAAAAGACAAACAAGCTGGGAAAAGATAATCAAAGATATTATTGGTATTTATGAAGAGTTGATAGCATTATGTTTATTGTAAGGGTGACGCGGTGGCGCAGTAAGTAGTGCTGTCGCCTAACAGCAAGTGGGTCGCTGGTTCGAGCCTCGGCTGGGTCAGTTGGCGTTTCTATGTGGAGTTTGCATGTTCTTCCCATGTTGGCATGGGTTTCCTCTGATAGCTCTTGTTTACCCCACAATCCAAAGATATGCAGTACAGGTGAGTTGAATAAACTGAATTGACTGTAGTGTATGAGTGTGTGTGTGTGTGTGTGTGTGTGTGTGTGTGTGTGTGTGTGTGTGTGAATGAGTGTGTATTGGTATTTCCCAGTAATGGGTTGCTGCTGAAAGGGCATCCACTGTGTAAAACATATGCCAGAATAGTTGGCAGTTCATTCCACTGTGGCGACCTCTAAAATAGAGTTTAATCCGAAGGAAAATTAATGAATGAATTAAAGGGATAGTTCACCCAAAAATGAAAATGACCTCATCATTTACTCTCCCTTATGTGATTTTAAACCTTTGAGCTTCTTTCTTTTGTTGAACACACAAGAAAATACTTTGAAGAAAGCTGGTTGCTGGCTCTCATCGACTTCCATAGTAGAAAAAAACAATTAGTATCGAAGTCAATTGGTGCGAGCAACCAATATATTTTTCTTTTGTGTTGAGCAGAGGAAAGAAATGCTATTATGCTTTAAACAAGTGAAGGGTGAGTAAATAATGAAAGATTTTTGGGTGAACTATCCTTTTAAAATGTAATGTTTTATTTGGCTATGAATGTTTATACTAGAGATGCCCAAAGTATGCCCACCATCCCATCTGAAAACGACAGAGAGGGTTGAGGCAATGCCTTTAACAGATCGTCATTTCTGATTTGACATAACCTTCTATTTTTTGTTTGTTTTATTTTTGAGTCACAAAAAATAATCTAACAGAAATTAAATGTTTTAATTAAACATAACTAAATCAGAGTTTTTAAAATGTAAATACTGTCACTCGACAAATAGAGGACTATGCAGAAGAAATCGTCGCGCAAACTCCATTTTGTTATAAATGTGATTTTTTTTTAGCTTTTAATTAGTTAATATGAAGTAATGTTTTTTTTTTTTTTTTATATATATATTATTAAATAAATAATGAAATTACCCAAGCCAACTATATTTACCTTTGGCCCACTAGCCTTTCATCAGAAAAAGTTTGGGCACCCTTGGTTTATTCTGTACAAAAGATGGAAAAAAAATTATTCTCTCTCTTTTTTTTCACTTTGTTACATCACTTGCAAAGACCAGCACTCACAGAATTAGAATGATTATTAAAACTAGTCGTCAGTTTACTGTTATTGATAAGCAAATGATTAGTCACTAACAAACTGTCTTTATGAGTAATTGAACCATTTAATCAACCAGTTTGTTCAAAGGGGCCAATTCGGTCAGGAATGTCCCAACCACTTTTTTTTTATTTCAATCACAAGATCAAACCATCTACAAGTTCCTGTCAGAGCTCTTTGTCCTAAACCCCATGTTTAACCTAAAGCAATGTTTCAAATACTTAATTAAGAAACTTGTGTCTGACCAAGAATTATGAAACCCTGTTCCTGAAATCAAAAGCACAGTTGTATACAGATTGGAGGTTGTGGTGTCTGGATGGTTAATGATATTAACTGTAAACATAAAACATAAGAGGCGACAGACGCCTTCGACAGAGTTCAAGGAAGACATACTGAAGTGGGTCAGTTTTTGCCTGCAATAAAGGAGGACATGGTTCAGTTGACACTCCTAAAAAATTAGTACAAACAAAGGCTGGAAGAGGTTTGGGAAATTTTTCTGCAGAAGAAAATATTCTTCATCAACAAGGAGCTTTGGCCATGAAAGAGGAGACCCTGGGCAAACTGCCCAAATCCTGATATAATAATAAAAACTCTTTGCTATGATTTCTAACACAAGTTCAACAAGTGTATGACCCTAGACGATTATTTACTCTGCTCTAGAGAACAAAGAGTAGAGTAAATCTGTAGTTTTGTTTTCTGCATTAACATTTTTGAGTTTTAACAAAGTTTTTTTCCAAGTGTATGGTCAACGTTTGTCCAAACAGTGATAAAGCATATCCTTAGGCCAAATTAGTAGGGACACCTGTGTTTATAGGCTTGAATACCAGCAGAGAGCTTAAACAGAGGACTTTGTTTTGTTTTGTTCTTGTATTTGTTTTACTCAACTTTAGCATTGAATCTGTTTTACTAATAAAAGTGTATTTTTATTCATCTTCTTCCTGGAGTGGACATTTGCTTCATTCGCAGAATCCATCAAGATATCTAGTGGTAAGATATGAATTGAATTATTCATTCATTCATTCATTCATTCATTCATTCATTCATTCATTCATTCATTCATTCATTCATTTTCTTTTCAGCTTAGTCCCTTAATTCACCAGGGGTCATCACAGTGGAATGAACCAACAACTTATCTAGCATATGTTTTACACTGGGAAACACTCATACACCCCTGCATTCATAGACATACACTACGGCCAATTTATTGTATTAAAATTACCTGTACCGCATGTCATTGGACTGTTGGGGAAACCGGAGCAGAAACCCACGTGAACATGGGGAGAACAAGCAAACTACACACAGAAACACCAACTGACCCAGCCAAGGCTCGAACCAGCAACCTTCTTGCTGTGAGGCAATCATGCTACCTACTGTGCCGCTGTGACGCCTAAATCTAAATACTCCATGAAAAAGATTACAAAAGACGGTCCTAAACAGAAATACAGTGAAGAGAAGATTTTGGTACTTTATTTAATTATGGTATTAAACGAAGGCATCAAGCACTAGAAGCACTTTGATATGAATGAAAGGACACTCCTATTACTGATTAAAGGGGCAGGGGAGCCGATTAAGGTCTTTTCACTTTTACTCAACCACTTAATTTGTGTATTTTGTCCACCAACGAGGAACCAAATATTATCAACATGTAATAAATACTTTTTGTATTAACTTGATACCATTTAAGTACTAGCTTTGACTTCATTTGATTAATTAATTTAACTTAATTTTGATTATTTAGTAAGAAATTGGAACCAAGTGGCAATGGCTTCTTGCTACATATTCTCACTGAGTGCTAAGATGGAAGAAATCACTGGATACATCCCAATCAACACAGTAATCAGTGCACTGGTCAGGGTGTCAGCCGTTTTAAGTGCCGTCTCAATTGCAAAATTCTTCTAGTGCGCTCAGATGTTTGCGCCCTAAAAAGTCTCAAAATGCACCGTGAAAATCAGGGTGCATCAATTCACATTATGTACTGTACACTTAACGATAGTTTGGATGTGCAAAATATGAATAACGTGACCAAAAACATAAAGACAAATGAGACACACATGATCCAGGGTTAACTAATATTTTGTAAATAGCCATAACACTATGTGTGAATTTATTCAGGATTAACTCATTTTAGTGGTAGCTTGCATAAAAGCTTTTTTTTTCCATTTTATCTCTGAAACACTGTGGCACTTTATTTCTTGACACCACATTTGAAGTATATTTTAAAGAATGTATCTGGTAATTTTAGTGAGAATGTGATTGTTAATCTGTCCTTTCATAGCTTGAGCAAGCCCCTTAAAATAAAGTGAGCGTGTCTGCTGTCCTCACCCAGGTCTGATGTTCTGATGTGGTAGACGGTGCTGGTGTAGCTCACTCTGGACAGCAGATCATTGAGTTGTGTGAGGTTGCTGGATGAGATGGTCAGTTCACTCTGGCCCTGTCCATCCACCTGCTGTCCATCCTGTACATCCTCCACTGAGAGCACACCACTCATCACACTCAAAGACACCTAATTGGGTTTAAAGCACATTAAGTACTGTAAAATCACAACTGAAATGGAATGAAATCAAAATGTAAGATTCCAGAGTTTGCTTCAATTTAAACCAACAAACCTTGTACTGCCCACCATTTGTTCGTACACTTGTCCTTTTTACTCGAAGGGCAAGACCTGAAGTGAGTATATTAAAAACAATTGTCTTGGTTATGGAACGGAAAAATTTTTTTTTCTTGTGTGCAATATGTTTGAATAAAGAGACCAGATGCAAAAGCTTATGAAAAGTGGCATCTGACATTTTCTTCTAAATCAAACTTTTTTTTCTGGTTGCTGCATGTGTAGGTTTAGTAATTTCACTGTTAAGGCAACGAATAGGTTATTTTCATTAAGTTTAAAGTTAAATAACTGAACATAACCATTTGAGCTTGAGTTAATTTTAGAAGAATTTCAGATGCCACTTAAATACTTTTCCATCTGAACTCTTCATAAACAGTATATACCATCAAACCAGTACTTTAAATACAGGAAAGTTTGTTGTTTGTTTGTTTGTTTGTTTGTTTATTTCAACAGGAAAGTCTCAAAGTCTCAAAATTCATAGTTTTAAATGATACCTTTTTATTTATCTATAAGCTGCACTTTAAATTAAGTGAGATTAGGCTATTTTCAGTTAGTAGTAGACTACCTGTACATAACCTAGAGCATTTTTATTTTTAACTGAATGAATTATTAACCACGGAGAGTTTGCATAATGGTGTCTGATGCAACATTTATGGGTGAATTATACCTTTCAGAAATACAGTAAGCTGGCTCTTACATAAAGCAAGCTCAGTAACACAAATCATATCATTTTAATCAGCGATACCCATTATCAACATTTTTATTATGTTCAGATTGGACTACTGCAACTCTATGTATTCAGGAGTTTTGCCTGCTTCAGTTGTACGCTTGCAGCTGCTAGACTTTTAACTGGGACAAAAAAATGTCTAGTATCTCACCAGTTTTATTATCCCATCACTGGCTCCCAGTTCAATTTATGATTCAATACATGTTATTGTTATTTGTTTTTAAAGGTTTGAATGGTCTGGCACCTACATACATTGGTGAGCATCTTCACTGGCACACTTCATTGAGGCCAATCAGTTTCAGCTAGTTGTTCATCACGGTTAAAATCAAAAGGTGACGGCTTTTTCTGTCACAGCCCCTCGTCTGTGGAATGGACTGCCATTACATATCAGGTCATGCTCTTCCTTTGGTGCTTTTAAGTCTCGTTTAAAAAAAAAATCACCTTGTGTCTCTTGCTTTTGATTGTAATTAAATAATTAATTTTAATTTGTTTTAAACATTTTGTTTATATATAGAGAGAAATTGTATTTTTTGTATGTTGGTTGTTTTGTAAAGCACTTTTGTCAACATCTGTTGTTTTTTTAAATGTGCTTTATAAATAAAGCAAACAAACAAACAAGCATATTTATTTCACATTATCTCAACATTACTTTTCGTTTATTACTGGTTGAAGCAAACTCACAAAGTAGAAGTAAAACCCAGAAAGGCCCTGCATGCTTATCACAAAACTTCCCTGTTTTTACAAATAGAGTGGACCAAACTAATTTAGTTATTTGCTAAGTACCTGCAGTGCATGCTCAAATGCATAGTTCTGACCTAGATACTAATGCAGTATCCATAGCTGCATAAACATAAGGGCTAGGCAGGTCTGAATCCCCAGGGCTCGCAAGAGGAAGTTCGATAATGTGAAGTATTCATTTCGGCTCGCTGGTGTTCAAAAACAGTGATGCTATGGCTCGAAGTGGCTGTAGCTTAATCAGAGTTTTAAATAGCCCTATTTAGTCCGCAGTAAGAGTGAAAAAGATGTCGTGTTTTTCCCCCACACTTACACTCAGAAATAAAGGTACGCAAGATGTCACTGGGGTGGTTACTTTTTTTTTTATATAAAATAAAAAATTAGTACCTAGGTCCATATTAATACCTGAAGGGTACATATTAGTATCTAATAAGTACAAAAGTGTTTTCTCTTAAAATTTTAGGGTACTGGTATATACTTTTGAGGTACCAATATGAACCCTTCAAGTACAAATGTGTACCTTTTCGAAAGGTATCACCCCAGTGACAGCTTGCGTATCTTTATTTCTGAGAGCGCAGGAAAAGCCCCTAATTCCTAAAACAGCTCCTTATTTCAGCTCTATCACGAGAAAGGTCCAGTCAAAGGTAAGCTAACCAAGCACATCATAAAACAAAAAATATAATTCAAACAGTATCCGTTATTAACGTGCAGCAAGAAAGCTCAGGATAGGCAGAATCATGCAGAATGGACTCGTAACTGAGGCACTGTCTCAGCAGCGGCCGCGCACCCGCACCATTCTGCCCTCTCATAACAGAGACAATGTGCGAACACATCAAATAGCCTACACAGACATCAAAATGTCCATTGCTGCAGAGTATCTACCTCGAGAAAATACATGGTTTAGGTCTAACTCTACCAGTTAGAAAGCAAACCTTTAAATTAATTGATTTCCCCTTTTATAAAAATGACAGTAATAATTCGGAGCAATGAAATATTCACAGTATATCTGAGGGGGTAAAAACTTCTGTAATTGATTAGACCAAATGGGAAATTAGAAGCATGGATTTTACAGATACTTTAGGGGTTTCTGCTCTATTTTTAAAAATAAAGTATTTATTGTAAAGCGCTCATTTAGGAAGTATTGCAAATGTGTGTTGCTGTTTTATTGAATTTGGCAGGCATTTTAATATTTTAAAAATTTAAATAAATTTTGTATGCTTGTGCGCCTACTTTAGTAAATCGAAAACATTAAAAATCAAATATAAATCAAGTGGAAAATTAGATTATTCATTCATTCATTTTCTTTTCAGCTTAGTCCCTTTAATAATCTGGGGTCGCCACAGCAGAATGAAATGAATGTGGGGGAAACCGGAGCACCTGAAGGAAATCCACTCGAACAAAGGGAGAACATGCAAACTCCACACAGAAACGCCAACTGACCCAGTCGAGGCTCGAACCAGCGACCTTTTTGCTGTGAGACGACAACCTACAGCGCCACTGCGTCGCCAAAATTAGATTATATATTAATATAAAATAGCAAATTAATAATATAAAAAAGTTAATTTTGTGAGGCTAAAGCCCCAAGGCCCAATATGTTTTCTAATTCGACCCTGGCAATATCTAATGCAGTATTTAGTTCTAAATTGTATGCTGAATTTTAGGATTTAGTATTGTAAATGCTACTTGTGATGGTTTGTGGGCTAAATTAGCTGACAAAACAGTTCAATCCTTGTGCATAAAAGAATTTCTTTCACAGACGTCGATTTTGTCACAAGCATGAGTTCTAATACCAAACCTCTTACCAAAGATACATTTTCAGAATTTAAACCTTTAAATAATGATCTGTTAACAAAATGTCAGGTGTTTTGATGAACAATTATCAGTTTTAATAACAAAACAAAATGCAAATTGTGTATAAAACTCAACACACATTTATTCTTCTGTCTACTATTTACCCAACATTATAGGTAAATAATTTAGCTACTGTAAGCTTAATTTACCCCAGCATTATTGAGAGTGTATGATAGGGATCAATAAACAGAGGTTAACAGAAAAAGTGTGCTAACCTGGAATCATACTTTTCTTCAGAGGAACTACCCTGAAACCTGTTATAGGATATTGTAGAGGAGAGTTGGCCGGGGCGATGAGAATATCTGTATCTGTTTTCACCCTGAGAGATTAAAAAAACACAATGCATGAAGAAATTAATATTAAAAGAAGAACAACCATTTAAGTGTTCTCATTTCACCACTGCTCAAATGTAATATGAGGGTGCAAACTCGCTATACAAGCATGCATTTAATCTTAACATGGTGTTGTTGTTTTTTTACAGGACCGCAGAAGTAATGAAGAGATTTTAACCTGAGTTTACTTTGCTTATACTCCTTTTCTCTGCGTTCAAGTAGATCATTTAGTTGATATTTTGGCACGAACTGCCTGGTGAGTTCAGCTCCTTCACAAGTAATATTTAACCTGTAGAGTTCAGTCAAACACGACAAGAAGAAAAAGACCGCAGTTCAGGCAGACCATCTGGAGCTGTTTAATACGAACTACAGCAAATATTCAAAGCCATTTTACCTTGAGGCCATGTCATGTTCAGGACTGGCACTGTTGAACAGAATAATGTCAACATTTACATTGCCAGGTAAGTGATCAGACAAATAGAAGTAAAGATACAATCTAATTGTAATATGAAAGTTGAAACTCTGAACAAAAGCCAGCAGTTGAATGCATAAGGGTAATGGTGTAGTGGACGTATTATATGCTACTGTATATATCTTGGACCTGGTCAACTTGCCCAAAATGCTTTTTACTTTGTTTTGTTTTGTTTTTTTGTGAAAAATGTTGTGTTTTTCATAAAATCTACCTGCATTTTAGAGGAGAAACAAAATGAACACATGAAGAAAAAAAAAAAAAACTTTCCTTCGGTTTTAATGTTTATACAGAAGAGTCAAGCTTTAAAGTCTGTGTGAAATTTAAAGTTACCATGCTTATTTTGCTAGCGGATGTTGTTATGCTTTAGATGAATGATTAATCCATGAAAGTTAATCTTCTGAAACAAATAAAAGAAGTATGTTTTGGTAATACAGTCTGACCATTTGCTGCTGTGTAAAACTTAAATTCAACGGGGAGTTGTAAAATTAACTTATTCTTTCAAATTATTTAATAAATGACTAATAAAAATACCAGTATAATACATTAAATGTCATACAATAAAATGTTTCATTTACGGTAATTCATACATTAACAAACCTAATTTAACAAACTGTGTGACAGACTGCGCCTAAAAGAACATCCTGTTTGTTCACTCTATCGCTCTCATAAAAAAGGCAAATGGTTTTTTAAATTAAAGTGAAATTCTCAGAGTTCTGAATAATGTATTATTTTCTTCTGTATGATCAAAAATAAAAGAATAGCCTATTTTAGTCTATTTTTATTGTAAATGACAAGTCATTCATCGTGCTGGTATATTTCAGTCTCATTTTTTCAGTCTTTAACCAGGTCATTTGACCACAATGAAACTAGGCTTTCCTAACTTTGCTATTCTCAGCAAAATGAAAGCCAGTGTGGGTGTCTGATGGCCATTTTACACATTGAACTTTGTGCAAAAGAAAAAAAAGTTTCTAAAATTACATTAAGTATTATTATTAAATTAAATGTTTATTGGATTTTTTTTTAATGTTTTTATACTTTAAACCAGGGGTGGCCAAACCGGTTCCTGGAGAGCCACCTTCCTGCAGATTTCAGTTCAATATCAAACACACCTGCCTGTAATTATAAAGTGGTGTTCAGGTCCTAATTAATTAGTTCAGGTGTGTTTGATATGGGTAGCAACTGAAATCTGAAGGAAGGTGGCTCTCCTGGAACAGGGTTGGCCAGCCCTGATTTAAATGTTAAAAAATCCTGATTTCATTGCTTTAAAAATTTGTATAACAACAACAACAACAATACATAAATTCATTAAATCAATCCAATAATAAGCAGTTTTTTTGTGTATAAAACCTACAGCTGAAGTCAGAATTATTGGTTCTCCTGAATTATTTGACTACAGCTCCCCTGTATATTTTTCCCACAATTTCTGTTTAATGAAAAGATTTTTAACACCAAGCATTACAGTTTTAATAACTATTTTGTAATAACTGATTTAGTTTATCTTTGCCATCATGACAGCACATAATATTGTACTACATATGAAGAGTTCAGATGCAAAATCCTCTAAATCCATCAGACCTGCTTTCTTGTAAATGAGCATTTTCAGGTTCCTAGAAGTTTCCTTTTATATCTTACGATAAAGTTATTAGCTGGTAAATAAAATAACTTTAGTTACTTAAGTGTCACTTTAGGTTTTTAACAAGGTAACTTTTTAACTTGGCTAACTTGGCTATAAGCCTTTAACTATCACTTTGAATACTAGTATCATGAAAAAATCTGGTAAAATATTATGCACTGTCAACATGACAGATAAAAGGAATCAGTTATTATAAATTAGTTATTAAAACTATTGTGTTTAGAAATGTCTTGATTTTTTTTTCTGTTAAACAGAAATTGGGTGTAAAAAAACACAGAGTCTAATAATTTATACTGTAGCTATATATAGAATGGAAAAAAGTGACTGCTTACCGGAATGTTGGCATCCTGTCGAACACTTCACTTTGTATAAACAGGAAAATCAGTAAACTGAGCAACATCAGGACTAAAACCACCTTCAAGCGGTTTTTAACTTTCATCATATGAGATAATCTGAAAGAACAAGCAGACTTAAATAATTACACTGGAATTCTGGTGAAAACTTATACAGCTATACGAAATAAAAAAAAACAGGTAAAATAATTTTTTGCAAAAAAAATAAAAAATGCAGAAGGCAAAAAAAAAAAAAAACTTGCTTTCATGTCAAGTTTGTTGGGGAATGACACTTTAGAGTGACAAGCCATCGTGGTCACCATATTGATGTCATTCCAAAGTGCTCAAAACTGGCCACTTTAAAGGGCCTCAAGAGATTTCAAAATGGTACAGCTAATAAACTTCCTATGAAGCTGCTTTATTGTAGCATTATGTTTTGATATAATCAAATGTAATATAAACATTAATTTGATTGTATCGAAAAACTTTTAAATTAGAACTTTTAATTCACTCAATTTCATTCAAATTATATATATATATATATATATATATATATATATATATATATATATATATATATATATATATATAAACATGCACACATCAATTAGCCAACAGACTAATTTCTGGTAAAGTTTAACAACTGAGCTTTACAAATGACTTCAAAACGTGCAACACAATAAATGTAATTGCTTAGAACTTTAATAACAATCAATTTGGTTGAATTATTTGTACAAGGAAGACTATGCAGTGCTGTTTAACATTTGAATATTCAATTTATGTACTCTTTCTGGGAGTTAGACTCCTCAGACACCATAAAACCCTTTTTATTTCACTTTTATGTTCTCTATTGTATTCTTGTTCATATAAAGCTCTTTGAATTACCACTGTGTATGAAATGTGCTATACAAATAAACTTGCCCTGCCTGAATATCTCAATAGCAGATTATTTCTTTTTCTTGCAAACCTAAATTACAGAACATTTTAATATAGATGTTGCAATATTCTATTTCAATCACTTTTTGTCAGCATGGTTTGAAGATTATCTGAGTCAAATTTGGTGCATATCAGATGTAGGAGGCGTTCGAAAAAGTAGGTTTTTGACTTAAGGCTATGTGGTGGACAGGAAGTTCAGTTAATTAAGGCATAACTGTTATCAATATTCTCAGGACAATCCCAGAAATTTATCAAGATAAGTTTTATAACAATTTCATTTTTAGAAATATTGTTATAACGTTTGATCAAAAGGTGGCGCTGTGATAAAACTTCTTGACATACCAACTTCCATAACAATTTGCATAGTATAACAAATTTTGAAAATTCAAAATGGTCTATGGCCAATATGGCTGACCTAGGAAAATCAAACATCAATCGACTCGGCATGCTCTGGCAGATGTAAAGATGACAAATTTATGAATTTTGAGCAAATGGTAGAGAAGTTATATAAAAAAAGCCATTTTGTATCTCCAGACCACTAGGGGGCAGTGCGCCGAAATGCTGCAGCCAACTTCAGACCATGGTTGTAATAACACACAAGTTTTGTGTGAATATGTCAACGTTTCACAAAAATAACAGTAAGTCAATTTCTTAAGCTCTCCGATGAATTTGTTTGCAAGTTAATCGAAAACGGTTCATCTAATCCAGGGGTTCCCAAACTTTTCAGCCCGCGACCCCCAAAATGACAATTCCAGTGATTTGTGACCCCCAATATACTCTGAGGTGGTTAAAAATACAGAAACCTTGCATGCAATGGCACACACACACCAATAGACCCAAGTCTATTCTTCGTTTAATTTTTTAATGTATGTCAGTGCTCTAAATGGGCCAAAAAGTTTAACCTGGTGTTCTAAAATTTGCTGCATCTGACACTATTGCTGTGTCTTTAAAATTATGTAAGTACCCCAGGGAGAGGTCGCAATCCAATAGAACTAGTAACAACAGTAAAAGCTACTATAGTAACTATATAGTATATGGTGACTATGAACAAAATATTTTTTTTTCTTTTCAGTAGGTTATAGATAAAATTTGGTAATTCTTATGGTTTAATAAAAATAAATAAGAGTTTTGGAAATCACCAGGCGACCCCCAATTTGAGAACCACTGGTCTAATCAACGTGAATTTAAAAACTTTTGGTCAGCATGGTCTGTAGATTATGTAATTCAATTTTGGTGAAAATCAAACAAACAGCCTAGGAAAAGTTTGTTAAAACATGTTTTACAAAAAGTTCAAAATAGCGAACAAATTTTTATGACAGAAAATTATGTCAGAGTGCGATTGAATCGGCTTGTGCCAAGAAATCAGAGAGAAAAGAATTTTGATTATAACTTTTGAACCTAATGGGCTACAAAAATACACATAAGTGAAACTTTGGACAAGTGGTGGCACTATAGAGTTTAAGTTAGAGAGTACAAATTTGTTTTAATTAAAGATCAGACTGTCCTTTATCAGTGCCGAAGTATGCACAAATGCCGCAAATGGTTCATTGGACTGCCATAGATTCCCAGAGCGGAAGAAGGCGGAAGAATAATAAGAACCGGAATTGATACAAGCTACAAGCTAGTTTAAAAAGTGCTGTGTCATTAACAAAAGTACTTAATTTTTAGCCCTTCACCACACTATTTTTTTTTAAATACTACAATTTTAATAATGCCTTTTCATCCTTATTAGAAAAAACGTAAGTGATGAGAGGAATGAAAGAAAAAAAATTAAGGCAAACGAGCTGAATTTCAAAGTCATTTGCTCACAACACACAATCGTCATATACGCACTGCAGCAATGCAGCTGCACTGCAGCTCAGCATGAGCATAATTTAAATGAGCATAATTCAAGTGAAAGCTCATTTTAATTATGCTTTAAAGTAGTTAATGCATGTAACTATTTACAAATAGTTAAACAGTAAACAGTTAAACAAAAAAGATTTAAAAATCAACTAAAAACAAAGTAATCAGATTAAAAACTAACAGGCAAAGCATTCTACAGAAGTGTGCATACGTCTATGCCATAAACAACTGCTGTCTCAGTCAAAGTCATAAAAATTTCATAATCAACCGTAGGTCCAGCATTAGCTGACCAGCATGAATTAGCAAAATGAAAACTATACACAGAAAAAAAAGCAAAAGTGTGGCATAATGTACTTACCGGTGTGAAACGCTCATATCAGAAAATCTGTCGAGCAAATAAGATCTTGTTATCCGTGAGAAACATTCTCATGCTCCTTCCTCTTATGAGTACATCTAAAACCTCTTCCTTGTTCAGTGGTAGAGCAGTCTGCTTTACACCACTCCTCTTAGCTAGAATCTTGATGGCATCAAATTTCTGTATATTATTAACCAAGCACACTAATGCATTGTAAATAAAATTCATAAGATACATAAATCCTGCAAACAAAGAGTGAATTACTGGCATACTGCTGTAGCTACTGTGATCTGCTATTGCAGTATACTACACTGTAACATGAAGGAATTACTGTAAGTTAGCTTTTCTTTTCTTACAAACTGAAATGGACTTAACAAATATTAATAAAGTTGTCCCAAATAAAAACTCAAGAATTGTGCTGTTTCAGCTCATTTTAAATAAGTAGCCCGAGCAAACAACAAACAATTGTTTTGAGTGTAGTGTGAAAATATTACAGTACTGTGCTGTAAAAAAATACGTGTTACACAGTTCATTACTGTAAGGCATCTGACCTATTATTGTATTGCACCTGCTGGACTCTCTATAAACTTCACTGTAAAAAATGCTGATTCATGTAGGGACAACATGGAGTTAGCTTATTAGTTTTTACAATTTTAAGTGGATTGTCATAAAACAATTAGGTTGCCCCAATGAATTCTCAAGAATTGTGTTGTTTCAGCTCATTTTAAATATTTTGAATAAGCTGCAAAAACTATTTTATATTTTGAGTGTTTCTTTAATATGGTTGTAAATGTTTATTGTTGTTAATATATTAATTTTAAAGTTCTCTTGAAGGTGGTTTTTATGTTAACATTACAAAATACTTTCTAATTGCTGCAAACAAATGGCAAAGACCACAGATAATCATATAAAAACATGCTTTTTTCAAATCAGTGCTACAGCAGTGCTGGGCTGAAGAGTCTTACTGTCACCACACACATCCTGTTCCAGAAAACAGTGCAGTGATGACACAAACATTACAACTGTGGGACTCTATTATGTCATTGTAAATACATACTTTCAAAAATCTTTCTAGAATGTTAAAAGAGAAACATAAGATATTAGTTTCAATGTTCTGTCAAACATGCATGCATAACTTTACTGTACATTGATGGACACAATTGCCTTTTCAAACTTTAAATCAACATTAAACTTATATGCATAACTGTCAGCCACCAGACATATGTTTACAATCTGACATGCCAATTCAAACTGTGTGCTTTGATGAGTGGGTCAAATCAAGGCAGAAAATACAGTGTTAGACCTAAATAAGGTTTGATTTTAATGTAAAAAAAAAAATCTTAATATTAGAAATAAACTTCAGAAAACAGTACAAAATCGAGTCATGACCTATTTACAACTTTTTTTTAAATTGCTATATTATGTAACTCTACCTTTTTTCATTTTAACAGATAGCAGATATACTGTATTTGCCTGGTTTAGAAACATACCTATGCATACCCAATCCCATGAGACCTGGAGAGTTCGCTCATCCTCCATCAATAGCAACAATCCTGGGATGTAAAAAAAAAAAAAAAAAACATTAAAACATTTATTCATTTTCCTTCAGCTTATTCCCTTTATTCATCAGGGGTCATCACAATGAAATGAACCACCAACTTATCCAGCATATGTTTTACACAGTCGATGCCCTTTCAGCTGCTCTCTCACACTCACACACATGCACCCAAATTAGCTTACCAAATTCACCTTTAGAGCATGTCTTTGGACTGTGGCGGAAACCGGCGAAGCTGGAGGAGACCTATGCAAACACTGGGAGCATGCAAACTCCACACAGAAACGCCAACTCACCCAGCCGGTAATCAAACCAGCAACCTTCTTGCTGTGAGGCGACAGTAACTAACCACTAAGCCACCATGTCAAGCATAAAAGAAACAAGTATGAGAAAATAAAAACATAAAAGTATAATAATTAAAAAAAAGATACAAAACTGTTTAAATTGTGTTCAATCAAGAATAAGGGGGGAACTTTTTCAATTTAATGTATATCAATAAACTTACCATAATATTCAGTCATTTAATTATGTCTAGGTTTTCAAGATGCTATATTTACAAAATAAAAGACATGGTTACACAAAGAAACATTAAGACAATTTAAAACACAAAAAGGCTTTCTTACAGAATAAGCATATTCTTAATGCACATATATATAAGAAAGCATCAAATCCTACAGTCTAAAACCCAACAATAATCACCTTTTTTACATATAAAGGAGTTCTAATGTATTTCAAAAGCACAAAAAGGTTCTATATAGGCATCAATGTGTCACTAAAGCCAGCGTTGATGTTCATAAACCTATTTTCTTTATAAATATTCTTTTTTTTTTATCTTCGCTGGGAAGATAAGGACAACATTGCCAGTGCAAACTCATGCTCATCTCATCCCACGCCTTGGCTATAGTTAAAAAATAATACACCTCAGCTATTTTCAACTGTTTTCCTGTCAAGGCTGAGTACTTCAGTGCAAAGTAATTAAAGTCTCCATTTAAACAATGTCAAAATCAAGATTTTTCTCAAATAAAATATTGGCATTCTTATTAAACAGTTTTTTTAATGAGCATTTTCCTTTATTAAAAAAAAACAAAAACAAATACAGCACTATACTCACTGTAAAAAAATGTAGGTACCCACACAATTCATTCATGTTGTCACATTAGGTAAATGTAACAAATTGAAGGGGATTGAACATAAACATTTTTTCAAAAATCTCCAGCATTGTGTCGTTTCAGCTCATTTTAATTAAGTAGTCTGAACAAGTAGCAAACATGTTTTTGTTTTTGAGCAATCTGTCAGTCCAGCCTGATCTTGTGACGAAACGTAAATATTTTACATTTTGTCAGTTTAGTGGCTAATTCAGAGTTCAGTCAACTTTTAAAAGGAGATTTTTAAAAGGAGGCTTGGCACACAACCCCATCCCCAGTAGCAGCGCAAGTTCAACGCCACCCTCGTGGTGTTCGTTTCGCCCTCGTTTCGCCTGCTGGATGAAAGTGAAGAGTGGGGGTGGGAGATGTTAATTAATAATTAGTTAATTAATAAGCGGTGAGTTGGGGGGAGGGGGTGTGGGGCGGGACCTGGCTGGAGGTCTCTATGCCGTCCCAAGCGGGATACCACCCTGGGCAATCGCCCACATCGCCCATGCCTAAATCTGTCACTGCCCACCCCTAAACCTTACCCTCTTTGGTGAATAAGCAAATGGTACTAAACTGTACAAATGAGATTGTACGATTTCATTCAAACTAGCCACTAAATCGAAATGTTACAAATTGCCGTGAGATAGTGTTGGTCAGTCATAATATTCACCAATACCAAACCACAATTTCAAATCACAAGTATTAATTCAAAGTACAAGTATTTCCATTTGAATGGACTGAAATGAACAACATGCGCAAGTAATTTCCCCAGAGTTATACAACAACAATAATGGAACATTTTGGCTCAATACTGTAAATAATAATAATTTTCTTGCATTAATATAATTTATATTTTCTTTTTTGGACACTCAAAGCAGTTTGCAAATTTTCATTTTTTTTTTTTTTTGGGAGGGTTTGGGGGGGTTGGGGTCCTCCTCATCCCACACTAGTGTGAAGCATCCACCTGAATGACACGACTGCAGCCATATAGCATCAGACTGTGCACCACATACCATCTGACTGGAGACAGAGTGATGAAGCCAATTATGATATGGTGATAGTTAGGAGGCCATGATGGACAGAGGCCAGTGGACAAATTTGGTCAGGATGCCAGAGTTAAACCCTTACTCTTTTTCGAAGAGCCTACTGGGATTTTTACGACCACAGAAAGTCAGGACTTTGTCCTCCAAAAGACAGCGCTCACTGAGCAGTATACAGTTCCCATCAATATACTGGGGCATAAGGACCCCTACACATGCCGCAGGTAGAGCAACCCCTGTTGGTTGCACTAACATCACTTCCGGCATCAACTTAGCTTTCCCATGTGGACTGCCATCCAAGTACTGACTAGGCACAGCCCTGCTTAACCTTAGAGGGTAACCATTTGAGAGTTGCAGAGAGCTAGCTGCTGAATAAAATACAGTGATACAAAGGGACAAGACCATTGTTATTAAGATGATGATATTTAATATACTTTGTTGTTCTCAATCCATTAGTTTAAAAGCTTACATCGAGTACAAAACATTTAGCTAAACCCTTAGCTTTTGCAATTCCTGACCAAACATTAATAGCTCAATGAACTGAAACTCTCAGATACATTAGCAGAATGTGATCTATTATTTATTCAATTATCTCAGTTACTCCCCAGATTTCGCCATGACACTTATAAGACTGGAAAGAAACTGTCCTGAGGTTGAGGAAAAACCCAAGTTTTTTAAGTTTGCAGGCAGACAAGGACTTTCATTCATTTGGTCTGATCTGGTAATGCAATAATAAAACCAACTTAGTTTTTAGTGCAAGTTTTATTTTGGTACAAAAGTATGCTGCTGAGGTGACACGGTGGCTCAGTGGTTAGCACTGTTACCTCACAGCAAGAAGGTTGCTGGTTCGAGCCCCAGTTGGGCCAGTTGGCATTTCTGTGTGGAGTTTGCATGTTCTCCCCATGTTGGTGTGGGTTTCCTCCGGGTGGCCTGGTTTCACCCACAGTCCAAAGACATGTGGTTTAAGTGAATTAGGTAAACTAAATTGGCCATAGTGAACAAGTGTGTGTGTGAGAATGCGAGTACATAGCTGTTTCCCAGTATTGCATAGTGGCCGGAAGGGCATCAGCTGCATAAAACATAAGCTGAAATAGTTGCCGGTTTATTCCGCTGTGGTGAGGCGTGATATATAAGGAACTAAACCAAAAGAAAATGAATGAATATGCTGCCACATTTGAGCGAGATCAGTCCTATTCCTCTTATTTTCACAAAACACACCGCCATAATATTTCAGGATCAGACTCTATAAGAAATTCTGAAAACATTTTTTAGCAACAAGCTGAGGGCAATTTACATATAATTTTTATTATTCATATGTGTGCGTGTGTAACAACATTCACCAAATAAATTAAACTAAAGAAAACTAAAAGGA